CATTCCATGTGACCAAGTCACTTATTCACCTTATCAGTTACCATTACTCTGTGTCCGCAGGCGTGTATGCGTCTAAGGGCATTGTGGGCAAACCCTAAATTACTAGTTTTTTACAAAAACGTAGCGTTGAGACCAGCATTGTGCATTATGACCCGTCCTGCGAGTAACTAGTGAATCCTTTTCTAAAATGAGAATTGAGGAGGTATTTGAATTCATTTCTGATCAACCTCCCCGATTTTTTTAATTTCGTAGTGCTGTGACCCTACGGGCTTTTTGACCATATTGAGCACTTCAAGATTAAAAAAATTAGGGAGGTTGGTCAGAAAAGAAGTCGAGTACTGCCTCAATTCTGGGTTTTTTTTCTTCTTAAAAAGGATTCACTAGTTACTCGCATCGAGGACGGGTCATAATGCGCAGTTCTGATGTCAACGCTTCGTTTTTGTAAAAAACTAATAATTTACGGTTTGCCCATAATGCCCTTCGACGCATACACAATAAGTGCAGCAGGCCGCCTCAGTCTGCGTCACCGTCAACTGATAGCTTGCAGTCGATGACTCGTGCCGCGGGATGCCGGCAAAAAGGCAACAGTTAGTGAAGAAATGGTTCCGTTCTCGCGGATTATGTCGTTATTTTTTACGCGTCACCCAGTATTGATTGGTCTCCTACGTGCGTAACGTTCGCATGAGCTTCTTATAAAGTCGCTCAGAATGCAATTACGATTTTTGAGAGTTTTTCTCAAAAGTTTTTTTACAGACATATACTTTCACATTACTAATAAAACCGAACAAACTCAACTCCCATTTGTAATTTTAGGATAGTTTAACTAAGGAGTAACAGATGAAGCATTTCAGCATATTTAACTTTTTTACTTCTATCTAGGCTGATGGTCTGCTGTTGTTTTTCATGGTGAAAATAACACATAAGGTGACAATATCTGATTGCAGAGCACGTGTTAACACTGGTTTACATCTTTTCGTCACAGCAATTTTTCACTCCAAGGGTTCACCATTAGGTGGGTTCACCATTAGGAATGGATGACGATCATTTGATGGCATTCACCGAAGTTGCTCTTCCCATAGGCTCGAAATAACTGACTGAAAAAATCAAATCATCCGTGGAAATAGTTGACTAGATTGTAGGAAAAGTCATGGTTTAGTCAGGTGTTCTGGTGCCACAAGATATGAGTAGATGCACTCGACGAAGCGAGTTAGGGTCTGCGATTTGCGCTGCAAACACAATGAAGGTCACCCATTCATGAACCGCATAGCGGCTGTTGAAAAACTCGGAATGTTTACGATAATTTTATTCCTAAACGATTATTGGTAAACAGCGGACGGACCTGCTAAAATATTGTTCAACGCTTATCTTCTTCAAAAAAAGATCACGACCCCAACTGAGTAGGATTACAGAGGTAAAATCCATTAAGAAGTGCTTCCAAAAACTGGAATGTCAAGTTGGATCACTTTTATTGCGATTTGAAGGAACTGGAGAAGCCTTCCACGATGAGCGAGTTGAAAAGGATTAATGTTGTGCTATGATGAAGCCAGATCGCGAAACTTTTGGTGACCCAATAGTAAATATGGGAACCCGGCTGAAAATCAATGCTACGTCTACCGTAGGGCTCTTATCTCGCGACATCCGAGTCTTAGTTATTTCGCTAGTTGCAGAAGACCTTCAATGGAAAATCTTCACCCCCTTCACCTTCACAGTTGTCAAATCTTATGTGGTCCAGTTCTTTGACCATACTACCGGATGCACTGTGAGAGAAACACCATGAAATTACCACAAGGAAAGCAAAAGATAATCGAACGAAACGTATATATCATAAATTGCGGACCATACATTTAAAGGAAACAGGTTGTTCTACGAGACGCTCAAAAATCGTAATCACTTTTCAAATGACTCAATATTTTGCTAATTATTGTGTTTCTCTCCTATTTCAGAATTTGTTGTTGGACTGTCCCCCTGAGACAAGCGTTCAAAGCTCCATCACAGGTGTGTGTTTATTTTCCCCTTCTTTTTACTTACTTTACTTTACTTTTCCATACTAAAGAAGAAAGAGTAAGAGTAGAGAAAATGAAAAAACATGCTCGCACGACACGTCGGTACTATCTAGAATATAATGAAGGAAAAATGGACACAAACTTATAATGAAGTGTTAACGGCAGCACTCCCACAACAAATTCTGAAATAAGCGAGTTAAAAAAGAAAATAAGTAGCAAAGTAGTAAGCTCACGCAAGACTTTACGCACACAGAAGGCCGGTCATTGATAAGAAAAAGAAAAAGAATAGAAGAAATACAATAACAACAAACAACAAAATCCGCTAATCAAATTGCAAAGCTGAAAACTCTCATCTCTCTCTCGCTATGTGCCGGCATCCCGCAGCAGGAGTCACCGAGAGCTATCGACTGCAGTCGACGCAGATTGAGGCAGATTGCTGCAAGCTTGTGATCAGGCTGCACAACTGTGAATGCACCCCTTTGAACCAGATTGAGCATTCTCAGGAGGAAAGCTCTTGAATCCAGTTACGTTTACAATATGCTACCATATTTGAATTGAAAGCTATCATTTCTTGAAGAAAGGAGGTTTTTCTGGGTTTACTTCTTTTACCAGGCGCTTCTTTCTACAAATACAGTGCTACTGCGCAGAGCGCTAAGATCGTTTTCCTCTCTCGCCCTCACAAACATGTCAGGACGTCATGCCTAGTTATGATTGCTGGAGCCGTAGATCGGAGGGTATCGGATCAAATGGGAAAAAAATTATGGGGTATGCAACATTTGCAAATCTTTGTCTTAGATAGTGAAAACAACAAATACTGAATAATTGCATTACAGAAACTGAAGCTAGAAAGTACCAACCGCCTGGCAAATTTGCATGGATCCTGTTCATGTCTCCATTGCGTGTGTCACCACTCTAAATTAAGCAGTCTAAGAAAAAAATTACTCGAAGTGGAAATCTGACTGGCATCGTGGATTGATACCAAGTTTCGCCTATTCCACCCGACTGAAAACCGAATTTAATGAGAAATGCCGTACCTTTAGCAAACATGAGGGTTCTGTCTTGTCTCCTCTAACAGTGTTACAAATCACACTTATATCGAAACGATCGTACTGCATTGATCGGAGCACAATGGATTTATACTGAGGATTTCTTTTCTTCTCATTTTCTGCGAGCAGAGAGCTAAACAAAGCAACAATGTCTCAGAAGACATCAGCTAATGCTTGTGAGCTACGACTGCAATGCAGCACAGATGGCCACTTGAAGAGATGTGCAGCTATATTTTGAATACCAGTCGGATCGCCTGCTGACGCCGGGCTCTTCTCCTTCTTGTGTTGAAGATGACCCGTCGCCCGGCATTCTTCCGTCCCTAGAACCACTCTTCGAGAGGCAGTTGTTAAATCATGGGGCAATGTTCTTAAGAGCACATGATTGATTTCGTTTGTATCTCTACACTGCCGTCGATTTGGCGCCTTTCGGGTCATTCCTCTGCGAGAAAAGCGCTGCAGATGGCAGGAAAAAAGGTCACAAATAACCATCCTCTCTTCTTCTTTGTATCTGACTCCTACCCCCCCCCCCCCCCCTCCCTCCCTCCCTCTAGGGCTCTTTATTCATTGCCGTCTTTGTCATCATTAATATCAAAAGACAAGCGCTGATACTGCTGCTTAGTGTTGCGAGGCTGTGACGGCATTTCCCATCTTCCCTACTTAGCAACGAGGCCATTTTTGCAATTTCTGCAGAGCTGCCTGCTCATGGCAGGCGTTGAACCTTCGGCATAGAGGTATATACGAGCCTACACTCCTGGACATTGGCCTGTCCCTGTTCCGAAACACTGATGGCATCTGTGAAGTATCAAGCTTCGAACCTTGGTCAGCCAACTAGACATTAGCGAAGAAATAGGGTGTGACTCTGCGTTTTGTATGTTTTCCCTAAAAATATTCAGAAATAGTAAAATCGAGTACAGTGGTTGTTTCAGACTTTGTGAGCATCTCGAACTTTTTCGACTTGACTTTCTTCCGAAAAAATGCGATATCGATGTGCAACATAACACTGTCAACAATTTGTTGCCAACAATTAAACAGGGAGTGCATGCTCCGCCTCAAAAAGTTCTGCGGCTTGTAGGTAAAAAAGTGTGAGGTGCTTCCGAAGTTCTTCTTACGAAATCTTCCAGGTGATCGTATTTCTTGCCCGCAAAGACGCTGCTGAGAGACAAGAATGTGGTGGTCGGAAGGAGGTAGATCGGAGCTGTAGGAGGGCGCGATAGAGTTTCTCTCCAGGTTTCATGATCTCGGGCTGTGTCGTCGTCGAGACATGTGGTATTGCAATGTCACAGATTAGGTATTCCTTGTCATGTTTCAGAGAGATTAATTGGAACTTCGAGCCAAAGTTCGTAGCTGAATGCAGTACGTCTCGAGCGTAGCCGTAGTAATGGGAGGTATAGTGTTACATCCCGCAAACGTTCCATCAGAAGCATGGCATGACCTTTCTCACTCGACGGATCTGATCTCTCAGCCGATTCAACCCTTTCCGATGAACCCACCCAGTGGACCCGGCCTGCGCCTACAGTTCACGTAAGTGCACCACTTTTCAACTTGTGAAGTTTTGGAGGGAGATTAAAAAAATACGTACAAATTTTTAAGACAACTTATATTTAACGATAAGCAAGCTATCACAGATGCATTCTTGCCAGCCAACACTGCTTCGGCTGGAGAAAGAAGAAAACACATGCACTTTCCCTCCAAACAACTGATTCCTTGCAGCAGCCGAAAAAGGTTAGCACCTGTCATGTTTCGTTTTGAGAATAGAAAAATGCTTACTTCATGCAGCTGAGATGTGCTTTCTTAGGCAACGCAATTCGTCCTCGTCCATCATCTTTGTCAAAATTGTACTGTTTCATCGGATGGCGAAGTTCTAGCACCCTCAAAAGAATTTCTGAGTAATCAATTTTCATCTAAACGCTCAGAACCGGATCCAAGGGCCTTAGCTTAATCACTGAGGTTAGAGATACCTCGTAATGGCGGCGATAACATAGCGATCGAATTGCATAAGCCGTACCAGCCGCCCCTAGTACACTTATATAATGCAATCCGTAAGCCGGGCACCACCCCTTTATTTGGCATCATTTTGACAAAGATTAGTACCGTTGTATGGGTGTCGCGCAGGAGGCAGGTCACTGCACAATACCGTGAATCGTATACCGTTATCCCTTGGGTTCGACCATTTCCTGTCGTGTCTTAAACTCATCATCTTCATGCTTATCGAAACTGCAACATTCTGAAGATTCCAGTTAGTTTTTCATATTTCCACCACGCAAGACCGACATCTTTACTTATTTCGATCACTCTGGAGGAGGTAGTGATGGAGCTGACATTTCCACTAAAGGCTTACCGCAAAGCGAAGGCTCTCTCTAATGGAGTGGAACAGTTCAGAGTTAACTTTCCGCCTAGCGCTGAATTGTTGAAGTTACACTAGGATAAGGGCGATCGCTCGCTTCTCTGTTTGTTCATTTGATTGGATGGATCTTCAATGAATGAAAGAAGCAGGAAAAGGGAAGAAAACTGGCGAAAACGTAGGAATAATGGCAAAGAAGCCACTGATACGGATTTGATAAGGTGCTAAAAGGTTGATTCATTTGCAGTAGATTTCGGAGTCACTTGGACCTTTCCGCGTGGTCGCTTTAAAGGCACTGTTCACGAAAAAATGGTTTCAGAGATCTGCACATGGTTTGAATTCGACGCCCCCTCTGATACCATTTGTGCAGGAACGAGGTCGGAAAACGGTCTGGATAGGGCACAATAAGGGCAGGAACAGTGGGGAACGGGAGGCCTCCGCCCCTCGCTAGGCTGACTACGAAATCTAATTGCCGTTCACCACTTTCGCATTGGGCGAAGTTGTCTGCTTGGGTGTGTTGTCCGCTATTGCAGACATTGCGTCGCCTTCCTGCACTCGCCCGAACACTCCCTTAACCGCCGTTCTTTCGATGTGAAACTCGTCCAACCCCCCTTTCCAGCTCTCTTTTGACCCTTTCTATTTCTTGTTGTTCATCTTTTTTGCGCTTTTTTCGTTGTCATCGCTTTATTCTAGAGTAGTTCTATGAATTCCCTTCAAAAAAGGGTACCCTAAATTTATCGTAAACGGTGCCTTTAAGTGAAGATCACTGAGAGCTGGACTAAACCACACCGATCCTTAGTGCTAATATTCTGTTCACGGTTATAATTATCCTACTATACATAATCGCTGAGTATGTGTGGGTATAATTTACCGGAAATTTATACCTCCTTCTTGACTAAAGGATTTAGGCTTGAATGAGATAAAAGCGGCAGGGAACACTAGTGGTTGGTGATAGAAAATTCAGTGAACCGCTGATGAAGATTGATAAGGAACCCTAGAAGACAAGAGTCAGAATCCAATAAGCCTTTCGCGTTAGGAGAGAGCAATTGCAGCTTGGTAAGTGATGCGGAGTAAAAAGGCAGGCATGATTTGTGACGAAGGCTGAGATCTGGAAAACTGGAAAATATACTTTAAAGTAAGAAATTCTACGACTATGGGCTTTGATAAGTGGGTGGGCTTGTTATGCTGCTTGCATATCCCGATGGGAATAACGGCAGTAGAAAGTGCTTTTAAAGGAAATTATGTTTCCGTACACGAGAAATTTCAAAATCTTGCAGATCACTTCTTTTTTTCGTTCATGTATGATATAAAACAACTCGTAAGGAAGCGATGTAATTGTTTAATACTGGGAGTGCACGTCTTCCAAAAACCTAATTTTTTATGAAAGCCACACTGCCATTATCCTCATCAGTTAGTAGCGTTTAACTTGGTCCATAACGATATCCAGGCAGAACTATGCCCGTAGTATCCACTTCTGAGTAAGATTATTTTGCGCCTAGGCGCGAGGTGATCTTAATAAGATACAAAAGTTCGCACACCGCACTCATGCGTAGCATGAGGGTTTGCATTCTCGATGTACGAAAGTTATTTGTCTCTTACATGAAAAAGATGCTGAACACCTACAAAACAGTTCCATGCCTCCTTGTCTCTCTGCAGCATTCGCTTGCTCTAAGCAGCACAGGTTCAAAAAGAAAAGATGTCCTGTTCTTTTACGAACAAAAAAGCGACGTGCTTTTACTTCAATGAAGTAGAATCAAGAAACCATATCTAAAAAAGGATTTGCTCAATATCAAGCCACCCCCTATACCTGGTAAGTAATCAACAAGAATAAAGTTCTGCGTACAGTAGCTTGTCCTTTGTCTCGAGAACATTGAAAAGATTTAGAGCGCATTTTTTTCTCGTGTTGTGCAATACTATCCTTACTATATAAAGAGCGTTGTCTGACTGTCTGTCGGTCTATCTGTCTCTTTGTTTGTTTGTTTGTTTGTACGGAAATTCGATATAGCCTGAAGAAACACCTGGAGAAGTCGGATCAAGTTTGGAATGGGTTTAGCATAGGGTAAGTGCAACAGAGCACATGTGAGCCTTTTTCCCAGACGTCGGGAAAAATGTGCAAAGGAGTGGATGGGTCAACAATTACAATAAACGGAACCTACCGGCGGTGGACGACGCACTGGGTGTTACTTTCCACAGAGATTCATAACTCGATTCAACGAAGGCGTCGAGGCCAGGAAAAAAATAAAAATAGTGATCGAGGCCTTATGCGTGCTGGGCATGCGTAGGCTTAGCGAAGCCCCGCCCACGATGGGCTAGGCATGCGTTAAAGTGAAAGCCACTTCTCATAAAAGAGTGTAACTTCGTTCGGAAACGTCCTAGAATGCGGGGAAAAAGTGGTTAGAGGTAATGGAACAATTGTAGTCAAACTCTCGGAGTGGGCTGGGTTGTCACCAAAGTGGGCGGGGCTCAGATCAAAAGTTCATTACTCTGTTCACAAACGTCTACAACGCGAGAAAAATTGGTTAGAGGTAATGAACAAATGTATCAAATCCTCAAAGTGGGCGGGGCTTGGATCAAAATTTAATAACACTGTTCAGAAACGTTCTAGCACGCGGGAAAAAGTGGTTAGAGGTAATGGAGCAAATGAGGTCAAGTCTCCGAAGTGGGCGGTGCTGGCACAGGAAAGCGGGGCTCGGACCAAAAATTCATCCCTTCAAAAACTTTCTAGAATGCGGAGAAAATGTTAGGAGCAGTTAAAAGAAGGGTGGCCAAGATTAGTGGAAAGGGTTTGCACTGAGGCGGACGGAGCTATGATCAACCACTAATAATTCTGTTCAAATGAAACATATCGAGCACGATGCTCTCAGCAGTTCAGCGTTCGAATCTAGAGAGAACTATCTCATTCTGATAATCCAACATTCCGCTAAATGACTCTATCGCAGGCAAGCGGTCGTCGACATATAATGCACGCGTTAGCAATATCCCAACTGGTNTATAACAATCCGCGAAACCATTTCGTAGAAGTCGAAAACACTGGTCTTCTCTGGCCTCTGGTGATAACAAAGACTACTGCTCCGGCACATCTCCAGAAGTGGCCTCGTGTTTTCTAAAGTCAACCGTGAGTCCGGAAAAAAGCAAGCAACTCTGACATTCTGGAACCACTCCTGAAATACAGATGAACGATGAACCCTCATATCACCTGTCTCACCTGTCATCCCGTTTATCGTCGATTTCCTCGAGCGGGCGCCAGTAACGTCTCAATCCTCCCTGTCGCGAGCCAGAGTAGTCCAGTGAATCGTACTCGCTCGAGGGGCACGGGCGAAACATTCCTTTCGTTCAGAGCTTGCGAGAGAAAGTCTGACCATCTCGTTGGCTGCCGGCCTGGTGTTCATTTGACGTTCCGAGTAACTCAGCCAGTAACCGCCCTGGTTCAACGGTCACCACTATGTCGCATAACGTGTCCGGCCCACCTGACCTTCGATTTCTTGGCGTAAACAACGGCATTCCTGATCTTCGTTCGTCGACGGAGCTCGGAACTTCGTAAACCCTTCTGCACTAGCGTGTTTAGGGACATTCTGATCATCGTCCTTTCCACAGCGCGTTGAATAACGCTAACTGCATGCTCACTCTGCTTCCGTAGTGTCAAAACAGGAAGGGCCGCAGTATCGAAAAGGTGAGCATGGAACCGGATATTCTTCGTTTTCTTCACTACTCTCTCGATGTTCTTGAATGCTCCCCACATCGCGCGTCTACGTCCGCTCATCTCTGCAGCTAGACCATTCATCATGTTGACTACCCGACCTAGATACACATGGCTGGAGCATTCAGAGATATTCCTCTCGTTCAGCATGAAAGGAGCATCAGGTAGCAATCCGTTTCGCATGAACATCGTCTTCGTCATGTTCACTCGCGGTCCGATGACGCATGACGTTCTCGAGAGCGGCACTGAAAAGTTCGGACGAGATGGCATCGCCCTGTCAAGCCCTCTTTTCACGTTTATGATGATCTCTTTATAGAGTGGCAAGATCCTGGTCGTGAAGTTGTAGTAGAGCTCACGAAGCATTCTTATGTATTGAGTAGGAACCCTTTGTTGCCCGATTTTTACGCTTCTGTCTCGACGTTATCAAAGGATTTCTTAAAAATAAGAACGTAAGATATAACAGCATTTTGTACTCTCGCGATACCAAATGAGTCTTGTAATGGTTTGGATGAGATCGATTGTACTGATCCCTATCCGAAACCCTGCTTGCTCGCATGGCTGTCCTTCATCTATTATTCCCCCAATCCTGTTAAGGATGACTCGTGTGAATAGTTTATAGATTACAGACAGCAGGCAAATTGGGCTAAAATTGCCAATGTCTGGATCTCCCTTTTATACAGCCACACGGTTTTGCTAGTTTATCCCGAAGTGGACACTTTGCATTACCAGGTACCGCGTGTAAAGCCGGATCAGGGTTTAGACATGACTGTAGTAAGGCTCTTTCGATGTTTTGTTTTGATCTTGTCGGGATCGGGTGCCGTACCATTCCTCATCGACGTGATGACATGGCGAATTAAGGAAGGGAGACCGAAGGGACGACGTATCCGTCTTGCTTAAGATGTTATGTAGGCAGGTAAACGTTGCTGTCGAAGAGATCAGAGTAGAAGTAGATGACCTTCTCCATTGCCTTTCGGGATGCAGTAGCAGTTCCGTCAGTACGACGAAGGGAAGTCATCTTGGTTTTATAGTTGACGAAGCTCCGACAGGCTTTGCGAATCTCTTTCCTATCTCGGCGGCTTCAGTCGAAATCGCTGCTCAACTCTCTTTCAGATCTTCCTTCATCGCTTCTCTGCATTGCTTCGCAAGTCCGGACGTTAGCTGATTATTGCCTGATTAATTCGCGCGATTCAACGCTGGCGTATCAGCTCAAGAGTCTTCGAGGAGGAACGTTTCCTGACATCTTCGAGCCTCTCAGCTTTCCTGGCGGTACCGTGAGGATGTCGTACCGGTCGTATTCTTCATCGATGTTGTCGCTGACGGAATCTCCCCACAAACTCGCCAATGGAACGAAATGATCCCAATTGACAACAGCCTTGAGGCTTCGTTTCCTGAACTTTGAAGCTCTCTCTCCATGCATTGAGACGGGATATAGACGGAATGAAGGAGACGATGGTCTGATCCCGTGCAGAACTTCGGAACAATAGCGACGTCAGGCAGGCAGAACTTTCGATCGACGATGATGTGATCTAATTCATTACGGAACTGCCCATCAGGTGGCTTCCATGTCCATCGGGAAGTAGAGGGCTTCTGCAACTGCGAGTTGGATAGTGTGGGTCGACCTGATAAACTCGGACAGCCTTTAACCCTGCTCATTCTCTCTAGTCCCGATGTGGAGTTCTCCAGCCGTTCTTCTGATGCCAATCTCGGCATTGAAACCACCGACGATGACCTTGAAAAAAATATGGTTTTCTCTGCAGAGCCTCTCCAGACCCATAAAGAACGCCTCCAGCTATTCGTCGTAGCTTATTTGGATGTTGGATCGTAAACGTACGAATCGGTGTTCATGGCCAAATGTGCGTTGACGAGGACTCCTACACCGCCAACCCTCTTCTGTCGCATAATCCAAGGAACAGTTCTTCTCCAGCTTCAAAGTGGCATGCAACGGGCGATGCCTTCTCGACTAGGTCAGTCCGTGTCCTCTGACGTCGAACTTGACCTCCCTGGCTTGTATGATCAGATCTTCGATGCACGCTTCCGATGCAAGCGTTCGTGCATTGAAAGCACGGACAGCCATCTTAGTCCTCCTTTAAGGCAACTTGTCGTGGACATGAGATTTCAGCAGCCTCTGCCGAGCGGTATCAGCCCCAACGTTGCCGTATCGGGTGCCCCCACAGCTTCAAGGGAACGAAGCCAATTTTTATACTGTTTTGGCATGAATATCCGCGTGTAACTTGCCAGACTCTAACATGTGGGGGCCTACTCTAGCCCTGTGGACATGCGGACGTGACGTTAATCTATATACATATATATTTTACATAAACACGTATAATTGAGAAGGATAATGAAAGCTTCAAGCAGAATTCCACTGAACGCTAGAAAAACGCTGGCGAGAGCTTTTGGGCAATAGAAGCCGACATCTGATGTGTTAAGACATGTGGCAAGGCAACAGGTTGCCTCTGTTTTGGTAGGCAGATATTCCCTCGAGCGAATCCTCGTCCTTAGTCCAGAACGCAGTGATTTACCAGGGAAGGATCCCAAGTCGAAGCGGCCATTTGGAATGAGACCTACACTGCTAGACGTGTTTTTGGATGCTGAGTTCAGATCTGCACTCCAAACTTGCCGAGCGTTTCTCTGAACGGAGTTATGAGGGTGGTTCCAGGGAGCGTAACATGAGAAAACTTAAATTACATGGATG